AAATGTTACAACTTATTTGGTATTTGTATTTTCTTCGGCTGCGAAGTTATTCGAGATCCTGCTGGAGTAACGTTTGTGGGTTTGCTGGATCTCTGAAACGGGTAAGCGGATTGTAACCATCTTTTGTACATAACTTCTTAAGGATTAGTTTTAATTTGTTCGACAATAAAATAACAAAAATAATGGACCGTTTAAAAATTATTTAGGTAAGTATGAAAACACTTCAATACGTCCTAACACTTTAAATAAGACCTCTAAAGACTTACTTGAAACGTTATTCTATTGCTTGTAACTACCTTCAAATGTATACGAATTTTCGTAAGGATACTGTTAGTGACTAAAAAGTTATGATGAAATGTAGCTCTCCACGTTCACGATCACAATGTGTGCGGCCTTTTTTGGCCACCGATAAACCTGTGTGTGGATATATAAACTGAATGTTATGCCAATAATTAGTTGTTTAGTTCAGTTGTCTACCTGTAAAATTTCAGCGTAGTACATATAATAATTTACGAGATAATTAAATAAAAGTCATTAGAAGGTGCAAGACCGTGGTAACCCGACCATGTTTAGGTGGTTACAAAAAAGCGATCACCCAGTACATTGTGCTGGCTTTTAAAATATGTAGGATATTATTTGCAAGTTTACTACGGATATGTACATAAGTGTTACAAAAAACTACATGTTTTTTAAATATTTTTTATTTAGGATTGTTTATTGCATAATTAGTAATCAGCCGGGAGATTAGGTATTGTTTTGAATGCTTTTGTTTTCTCGTAATGTTTAGGTGAATTGTTTATAGTTGTTCATAGAATTGGTACCTGCGTAGTATTTGTTAATTGAAGTTTAATTTTAGGGTAGGTATAGGTAATTTAAGAAATATGAAATGAAATGAAATGAAATGAAATGATAAGTTTTGAAGAGTGTAACGTATGCGTTGTAAATAGGTATTTTGTGAATAGATGGGGATTTTTTTAAGTGATGAATCGACTTAGGCTAGCATATCGCGAACAAACTCTATATTGAATTATTTCTGTAATAATGTTGGAGAAAATAAAATATTTGATCACAAAATCGCGGTGAGTTAAATTATAATAAAATAAATTATTTATGTAAAATTAGTAATAAGTGATATACCTACCTAAAAGTTATGATCGTTTTTAATTTGTTCACCCTGAACGAAATTTCAATATTAGCATTAGTAATTAATATCCTAAGACAAGAATTGACAATTACTTAAATTGAATCGGATTAGCATTAATGCCTATTATTTGTAATTAGGTACACACATATTGAAGAACTCTCAAGAATACGATAAATATTTGCAAAAATAGAAAGCGGAAGCGCACACGTACTTTACAACACGTATATTATCTGCCTAAGGGTCAAGTTTAGTGCACTAGATGCAAATTGCAAACAATGAAGTATCCCTTCGCCCCTCCCCTCCCGCGTTCTAGCGAAGGATGTATTATCAGCGATTCTTGATTGACAAATATTATCTGACCAATAATTTTATCTATAAAAATGTATCACTTTCACTCGATAAATTAAATTACCGTTATTATATCAAAACATCATTCAACAACTGTTCGTTTTTAACAGAAATCAACAGTCACGGGCTCAACGCTTAACGGTAGGTACATAGGTATAGATAATTCTCGGTTCTAGGTATAGACCACAGAACAATATTACCTACTGTTACGAGGTATACGACTGTTGGGCGATGCAATGTTGATGCATTCTAATTTACAACTGTATTCTTCTACTATTCGGTCTATTTTAACTTATTGTAGATGACTTGTTGCTTTAAATATTTTGATGCATTCAAGTCTAAGCTCTATACACCCCAAAATAAAATACAATTACTTTAGTCATCGAGATATAAGTACTACGTACTAGAGGAGCTACATCAAATATTTGCATTGTTCTATTTTTCGAAATTTAAAGCTTTAGTTCGCTGCAGCGCTAAAACAATAACAAGGTGTCTAAATCATAACTCAATACTGCAGCGCTAGATTTGCTACAAAAGCATAATTTTTTCCCGGAAAAAAGGTCATAAGCGCCATGAATATCACGGCGCTTACGCGTTTCCTTCAACAAAGTGCAACAACATGTATTCCCTATAGACTATGACAGGAGTAGTAAAGAATGGGCGACTCAGGTATTTTACCTAAATGGTTCAAAAAAATAAAACATTTGTTTTTGTGTGATGTTTTTTATTTAATTTCCTTTAAACAATATTAGCTTAGTCATCTTTTGCCTTTTTGATAAATAATCAATACTTTGATCGGTTTTCGCTTCATGTTTTAAACGAATAGTAGTGTATTTATTAATAATTGCCCGAATCAAATGAATTCTGTGATTTAATTTGCTTGGTTGACAAAAAGAATGTTGAACTAAAGACGTAACTACCTCCGTCTGAATAAAATGTTCTAAAGTATTTACAGTAATATAACTGAAATAGTATTTTGTGGAGAGGCTAATTCCACCACTTCGCTTTATAAGTTTTCGTATAATAGTTTCCGTGATTGCACATATTTTGTATACATCTTCTGAGGAATATGACAATCCACCCATATCTTTAATAGTTATAAGTTTATGATGTGGCAGCTTTTCTGTAAAAAAGAATATATATATATATATATATTTTTTCTTTAAAATATATTTCATTTTATCGAAAATGAATTAAAATTAGTAGTAAATTAAAGTAGTATCCGAGAGGATTTCCGCACAGAAAAAAAAGGGTTAGCTTTATCAATATTGTCAAATTAGTTTTATCTTTTCATAGCTAAATATTTAAATCAGCATTTAAAACAGATAACCATATTAATGGTGTAATGTCGGTCTTATGTACCTACACTGCACTCTGATGTTATTTAGTCTATGACAAATAATGCAAAATGGCGCGTGGTAATTAAATTATTCGTATTTTTTGTAAAACAATGAAATTAGATTACTTACCGATGAAAAGTTATTCCTTTGCACTTTGCAGTGTTCCTTGAGTTATTACTGCAATACCTCAATACACACCAAGGCATTTTTTTATTATTTTTACCGTGTTTTTGTTTATTAATAGTCAAAAGTACTACACGCGAAAGAGCTAGCAAGCGACTGAATGAGTTGCGGCGCGATCGCCGCAGTTGAACGAGACAAAGTAAGGATTTGCGGTGTCTTCTCTAGTACGTAGTACTTATATCTCGATGACTTTAGTGTTATTTCTTTACAAAAAAAAATCAAAGAAATGAAACGATTTCTTATTGGTTTAAATTTTCGTTTTATTGCAGTCAGGTGAATCGTTCATACATGTATCTACATATTTATAATTTTAGCGGACCAGTGCAGATTTTCTGTTGATTGTAGCTCCGGTAGTAAAAAAGATTAAATAAATTTTAAGTAAAGAAACTAGTACCTACTTAAGATCAATTAGGGAAAAAAAAACAAAATAAATAATAGGTAATAATAATGAATAAATATTGAATGTATTTAACACTGTACGCAACTGTACCGAAATCGTAAGGTGTATTACACTAAACATTTTAAAAGACAGCGCAATGTACTGGGTGATCGCTTTTTTGTAACCACCTAAACATGGTCGGATTACCACGGACTTGCACCTTCTAATGACTTTTATTTAATTATCTCGTAAATTATTATATGTACGACGCTGAAATTCTACAGGTAGATAACTGAACTAAACAACTAATTATTGGCATAACATTCAGTTTATATATCCACACACAGGTTTATCGGTGGCCAAAAAAGGCCGCACACATTGTGATCGTGAACGTGGAGAGCTACATTTCATCATAACTTTTTAGTCACTTACAGTATTCTTACGAAAATTCGTATACATTTGAAGGTAGTTACAAGCAATAGAATAACATTTCAAGTAAGTCTTTAGAGGTCTTATTTAAAGTGTTAGGACGTATTGAAGTGTTTTCATACTTACCTAAATAATTTTTAAACGGTCCATTATTTTTGTTATTTTATTGTCGAACAAATTAAAACTAATCCTTAAGAAGTTATGTACAAAAGATGGTTACAATCCGCTTACCCGTTTCAGAGATCCAGCAAACCCACAAACGTTACTCCAGCAGGATCTCGAATAACTTCGCAGCCGAAGAAAATACAAATACCAAATAAGTTGTAACATTTACCTAGTCCAGATAACTAATTATTTAGCTAAAATTTATTTCAATATTACAATTAAAAAAGAAAATGTCTGGCTGCGGTAACGTTTCAAACGTTACCCCGGCAGGAAATGTTTTTTTGAAATAACTAAAAAAGTTTAAGTGAAACAAATTTAAAAATGTGCTTAACAATTACAGAAGGGGAGCAACTAATTATCTATAACGTTTAAATGACCATTTTCGACATTATTTTGCTGGGGTAACGCACACCCAAGGAAGGGTTATATTTTTCTTATATAACCTTAATCTACTATATTTTGTTATATTCTATACGATTGGTTAAAACTCTACGTGACAGGTGCTAGGTCCCGCCTTCAACGAACACGTTACGACTTAATTATCAGCATTAAAATCGATTGATGCGGATCGCAACAACCTTTGAACCTTCTTTAAAGTTTAGGTAATATTTGTATAGTAAATATTACTCAGTTGTTTGCATTTTGTGGTTGTAAAATTTGTTCTAAGACTGTTGTCTGTGTTGTGAGATGTGTGAAGTTGCTCGCAGAGCAAAGTATCTGTTGACTCCATAGTCCGTCCGTATCATGTAAAACTTATCGCAGAGTACTAGCGTACTAACCAAATCGCAAAGTACTTTTTCATCAGTCTTATAATAGGTAGGTAACTATTGGTTCGTAACCATACAAGTGCCAGGACTATTGCTCAATACGATTAATACTAAATAATAAAATAACTTCAGGTAGGTATTAATTTGTAACTTTTGAATTAGAAAAATCATAAATTTTATCATCAATATAATACCTACAACTCAACTGGTTGTTGTGTTTCATTTTGACTTCTCATTTATTCCAGGAAAGTTCAGTAATATCTTCGCTGGAGCTAAAGGATACTGAAACTACTCCTATCGAAGCACCGACAACGGAGGCTGTAACTGTAGAGGCGGTTGAAGAGATCCGCGAATGTTCGCTGGTGTCTCTTTCCTTGTGCTCTCACCTAACTCACAATAGCACGTCTTATCCGAATTTGGTGGGACATTCTTCTAAGGATGTTCTGATGCGTGATCTCGTCGCGTTCCGGGAACTCCTTGATGCAGAATGTTCTAATCTTGCACAGGTACTTTTTGTTTTTTTGTTTTGTTTTGAAAAATGATATCTCCCGACTACAAACATACATAAAACGGACACAAAGAACACCCAGACTCAGAACAACAATTTATGGATCACACAAAGTGTCGTCCCATGTGGGGTTTGAACCCACAACACTCGGCTTAGTAGGAAGCGGCGTGGCGACCGCCTTAACCACTGCGCCATCTGTGCAGTCAACTATTTAATCAATATTCAAAACTCTAAATTCTTTGCTAGATTTTGTTTTATGCAATTATAATTAAAATATTTTTCTAATTATTCAAATAAAAACTTAATAAAATACCAGATCTATTGACAATTTAGAAATACTTAGATAAGTTGCTGGGAACAGTATCTAAGGGTTATTTTAAAATGACTGCCTAACGAGGCGCTTTTTACGTGATTTCAGGATTTCGTGTGTCAAATGCTTCAACCAAGGTGTCACAAAGATCGCCTGATACGACCATGTCGTGCATACTGTCGCGCTTTTCACGCGGGTTGCGGTGCCCGCCTGCCGGAGCGCCTGCGACCACATTTCGACTGCGGTAGATTTCCCGACTACTTCGGCCTAGATTCCTGTGTACCCGAACCAGGTATAATATGATGTTTCTTGATCGTATTTTATAAAAATCTAATATGTGCCACGGCGGCTACCTACGCAATAAATTCTGTAGGTATTTTACTGACGCCTACCCAGGTTTATACATTTATAATTTTTACCTAAAGTTTTTATGTCACTTTGTACACAATGTCTAATAAGAGTGTGGTCATATTTTAGTGTCGTATATTGAATCTTGTAAGTAGCGTATAACGCTAACGATAAACTTGTGATTTTTATGCACTGTGTTTTTTCTTTTTGGCAAACCCATATTTTTGGAGGTCCTCGGCCTCCAAGGAAGGAGGTCTACTGGTGGTCCCAGGAGATGGCGGACCTCCGCGCGGCCTGTACTCGTGCCCGGAGGTCTTACACCCGCAGTCGGCCGCATCACCGCGAAGACGGTGAGGAGGACCGGCTTCAAGAGGAGTACCGAGAGGCGCGGAAAACTGTGAAGCTGGCCATAGCCACGCCAAAGATATGAAAAGAAAGGAGATGCTGAAGGGTCTGGATCGTGACCTCTGGGGTCGCCCTTATCGTGCGGTGCGACAAAAGCTCCGTGCGTCGCCCCAATTACGGAAACTCTCCAGCCCAGCTTCCTGCAGGATGTGGTGAAGGGTGGAACACACACCTCCGTCGATAGTCTCCTTGATCGGAGACGACGGGGAGAACGTGGATGATGTTCCACCGGTCCGGGATTCGGAGGTGGGGGCGGTTGTTCTACGAATCCGTTCCAAGAAGTCCACCCCTGGGCCGGACGGGATAAGGCTGGCCCTAGTCCTTCACCACATGGCAGACCGCCTCAGGGACGTGATCAACGCTAGCATGGCGTCCGGACGTTTCCCTGAGTGCTGGAAGAGCGGGAAGCTGGTACTATTGAGGAAGTCGGGATGACCTGCCGATTCGGTCGCGGCCTACAAGCCCATCGTATTGCTGGACGAGGCGGGTAAATTGTTTGAGAGAATCCTCTCTGCCCGCATCGTCCGGCACCTCTGCGAGGTGGGCCCCGATTTGTCGGACGCCCAATTCGGTTTTCGAGCGGGGCGTTCGACGATCGACGCTGTGTCGCGCCTCAGGACCGTGGCCGAAGAGGAGAGCCGTGGCAGCGTGCTGTTGGCGGTGTCGTTGGACATCGCCAACGCATTCAACAGTCTGCCATTCAGCTGCATCAGGGAAGCACTCCGCTATCATGGGGTACCAGAATACCGTCATGTACGAGGACCAAAATGGTGCTTTGAGGCGTCGGCTCATGTCGTGCGGTGTTCCGCAGGGGTCTGTTCTCGGACCACTCTTGTGGAACATTGGTTACGACTGGGCCCTTTGAGGTCGCCTCCCCCCCGGGCTGGGCGTTATTTGTTACGCCGATGACACGCTAGTTACAGCGTACGGTGCACCGGTGTGGGCGGTGGCTCTGACCGCCCAGAATAGGGCACGCCTCTAGCGCCCTCAGAGGATATTGGCGGTTAGAGCCATACGCGGTTACCTCTCATACCGACAAACATTTGTATGTCAGCACCCTGAATTTCAAGTTTACATAGCTCGTTAATTTATGTAAGTATGTGCTGCCTTGTGCCCCGTATGACCCCACACACGTATTACTGGTATGGTTTTCAAGTCTAACATATTGGTATCTTTCTGTGTTATAATCTCTTAACCATAAAAGTGCGTTTCTCCTAATTCCTAGATTCTCAAGGCGGGTTAAAAGGATCGGAATAGAAACGCCGTGTGTGAAGCCGTGGAGACAGTCCAGCCGGTCATCGTAGAGTGGGCAGGGCGGTAGCACGGGACCCTTTCCTTCCGGCTGACGCAGGTCCTTTCTGGGCACGGCTGCTTCGGGAAGTACCTGCACTCAGTCGCTAGGAGGGGATTGGGTCATGCCTGTCACCACTGCGATTGCAGTGAGGCCTCGGCTTAGCACACGCGGGCAATTTATAACGGCTAGCCGCCTAAATGGAGAATGTAGCCACGCCATTGCGGGCGGACACTAGGGGGGTTCCGGATTGTCTCACTAATTGCAGTTCCCGGATGTATCCCATTACAAGCACAGAGTGGCACACCGTGTGATTTAAGTCTTGGGCACCACGAAGCTCTTAAGGACGTCCTAGCCCATGCTTTGGAGGTAAAAGCCGTGAGACAAGACCATCGCGTCCGGGAGTTTATGGCATCACCTGTTCGAGAACGTTTTAAGGGATATAGCTCAAGATGATAGATTCGCCTGTGGCGAAAAGAGTCATCTTTGGTCTAGCTGCACTAATCGAAGGATAGGAAGTGAAGATGAGTGGACTCAGGCGATTAGTGCGGCTAAGCCAAGAGCAGGGAAACGAGTAAATGCCAAGACTGTGGGGTGTGTTCTAAGATCCCCAAGGATTTCGATCTCGAAAACCCATTATGGGAACAGCCTGATCATCAGAGGCGAAATCGACGGAACGTCATGTAAACTGACGATTGATACAGGAGCTTCTTGCACAGTTGTCAGTTCCCAACTTGCAAATCGCTTTCTGAGGGCCATCACATATAACCGTAAGCGAATAGACCTAGTAACAGCCACTGGTCAGCGCACACTCGTCCGAGGCGAACAGAAGGTGGGTTGAAGTTAGGCAACCAAGTTTATCTGCATAACATCATCGTGTAATGTCGAAAACTTGCTTTCCGATTGAGCTGGATGACAAGGAGCTTGATTTCATCCAAACGACACATGCAATCACTCTCTTCCCGTTTACGTTTTAGACGACTATTAATATCGGCCTCTTGTTCGACAGTAGTCAGATCAGGGGAGGATCCAGTTTGCCGATACCGTAGAGAGCAAGAGGCAACAGTGACGCTTACACTTTGTTCCGCAATAGGCATAATGTAAGGCGTGATGTAAATTACCTTGGGTACGATATACTCCTTCCAACAAAACAGTCCGCCACCCGTTGTCGCTTATAAATTGCAGCAAGCGACACGTCATGTGTCGTCTCGGCAAGCACGGTGCGTGCCTGCGCGGCGAAGGCAGGGTTGCCGTCTCAGGTGTTGTTGTCCTGTTCCTACGCCGACCCAGTGCAGTGATTACTCTTGTATTATGCGCGCCTAGTACTTTATGATTTTAATTATGTGTCTTTAGTGTTTCCGTTTCCATGTGGTGACGGATTAAGAATACATAGTGTCATCACCCCTAGTCATCCCGTGGGTGTCGTAAGAGTCGACTAAGGGAGCAAACTACGCAGGATAGCACTGCAAAGAGAAGGAAACTTGAAAAAAACCCTTTTTTCTTTTTTTTTAACGTGTGGAAGTCCCCTCGGACCGTCACACCACCGGGGTTTAGGGCGGGGTGGTGTGTCGGACTCGAACCGACTAAAACCACACGGTGTGCCCTCTTTGCGCTTCCAGTTTAGGAGGGGTCCAGGTAGTTATCGCCTTCTGGACCCCTCCCAGCGCCGGCCCGCTCCTGGTGCGGGCTCCGTCTCCACTTATCCTCTCTTTAGGCGACGTCCGGCACACGCGGACGCCGCCCCCTCGCGGCTGGCCAACTAATGCGGGTGGAGGGGAAACACACCCCGTCCACCAGCGGCCACACTCAGGGCGGCATGAGGCGCAAGTAACCGCGCCTCCGCCGCCCGGTTCGCCGGCGGCGGATCAGGTCCGAGTGGAGGTCGTCCTCCCGGGCCTTCTCCGCCGCCTCCTTCTGCGAGATTACCTCCTCGCAGAAGGTTGCGACCGCGGTAAAACAACTGTCATGTCCGGCCATGGAGCGAATTACGGCCGATAGCGAGATATCTGCTCCGATGACTGCAGTGAGGGCCCGGCATGCGTCGCCCATGCGGGGCAGACCGCCAGCGTGTGCTGGGCCGAGTCCTCACTGCAGTCGCAGTGTTGGCAGGCGGGACTCAGTTCCCTCCTAGCGACCGAGTGCAGGTACTTTCCGAAGCAACCGTGCCCGGAAAGCACCTGCGTCAGCCGGAAGGAAAGGGCCCCGTGCTGCCGCCCTGCCCACTCGGCTATGACCGGCTGGAGAGCCTCCACGGCGGCGAAGCCAGCGCGTGGAGTCTCCAGCCGGAACGACCATCTGACCATGGTGGCTCGGCGAGCGGCTTCGCGCCACTCGCGCACGTCTTCGGGCGGAGGGCGAAATCCGCTCTCCGCCCGGAAGTCAGCCACTCGCCGATAAACTTCGGCGAGCACTTCCGCCTCCAAATCCCACGGGGGTATTCCGGCAAGGCGCAAGGCGCGCCCTATTCGGGGCGGTCAGAGCCGCCACCCACACCGGTGCACCATAAAGCGCCATGGACCGGACAACCCCCGCGTACAGCCGCCTCGTGGGAACACTGGCCCCGCCCAAATTGGGCAAAAGTCGCCCTAGGGCGGAGGCTGTGTCCACCAGCTTCGGACCAAGCTGTCGGAAGTGCTCGTCGAAGAGCCACCTACCGTCTAGGACCAGACTCAGGTACCTCATCTGGGCCCGGACCGGTACGAGGACCGAGCCGACCTCGATGAAAAAAAACCCTGTACCAACCCTTCTGGCCAGCGTGGTATAGGTAGGCTAAAACCCCCTTTCTAAGAAGAGGCCTATGTCCAGCAGTGGACTAGTAAAGACTGTGGATGGATGATGTGTTTAAACAATTTATTTATTTACTAAAGAACAATGGCAGAAACATATTTACCTAAAACTGAAGCGTTTAAAAAATTGACTAACAGTAAACTTACTAAATATTTTTTCTATGATTTATCATTATACCGCCATGTGTTGTATAAGTCTAATAAGAGATTGGATATTTTTAAAGATTTTATTTGACCTAAGTACGTAATGTCAGAATCGCCATCACGAACTGACTAGGGATGCGTGATGATATTATTATATTATGGAACGTTTTATCGATAATCGATTGTTATAACTTTGGCTTGAAATATCTATCGAAGGTTTACCTATTATGATTATGAATTTGCTTCTGCCCACGGGTTTACTCATACGCTACCGTAACTAGTACTGTAGTGACTAAATCAACCTAATTAGAAATAATTTAGAATATTTTTGACTCTTTTTAAAAGATTTTTGCTACACCAAAATAAATAGAATATAGTTACGTTATTTTCCTACAGAAAAATACTAAAACAATATACTGTTTAGTGTGATGAGAAAAAGACATTGTAGGTCGATAACGGCACATAAATAGACATATATCGATATTTTTAAAATGTCGATACGTCGTCGTCGCACTTACTAGTCTTGTCGTTTGACACTTACACGCATGACTTACAGTCCATTTCTCACAAGGCAATTGTAGTTTGTTTGGTTGTTTCACTTTTGTTTAGTATTAAACTCTCATATATGTTTATTTTAATTTTAATTTCATATAGTGTTACTCCAATATGCATGATGTGATGCCTTAAAATGTTGTGCATTAATCTCAATAAAATGGATGCATGCTTTGAGTAAATAATGTCACAACTACTGACTGTTGAATAACTGAATAAATAAATAAATGCTCCCGCCTTGTTTAAATGTGTATTGAAGTACATTTATTCAAATTATTATTATTAATTAATTTATTTATAGCTAGTATTACACCTGCTATGTAAGCGAAGATTTTTTCTATTGTTTACCAATAGATGCCAAGCAAATACCCTTCTTTCCTTCACCCATTTAGAGAGTCGGCTAACACTTTCTACAGCAAAATAGGGTTGCTTATGAAGGAGTCGGGTCAGGTTCACATAAATAGCAAGAGATTGTGTAACTATTAAGGGATTAAATCCACACAGTACAACGGTTACAGCACAAGTGTCCATTAGATCGAATATCAACTGCCAACCCGCACTGCTGTTTTTATTATCTCTGGAGAACGAACGAGTGAATGTAAAAATACCATCTTAGTACTAATACAAGTTGTCATTATCGAGTATCGCTATAGAGTCTACGAGTAAATAGTCGACTAAATGTAGTGTAAGTTAACAGCTCGGCCATCCTTAATAAAGTGAGTCCTCTCACTTTGCTCATAATTTAAATATTAATTATGGCGACAATAACTGTAATTTGACAATGTATAGGGTAATCAACAGTTGATATTAGCTTTAAATGTATAACTTAAAACTAATTACATGACAATACTTCCTATTTACTTCTAATTTCCCTTCTTTTCATTATACTTTCCTACTACTTCACTTAATCATACTGTGTGACAATACTGTGTGTCTGGTATGCTACTCACATCTGCGGTCATCTGTGCGATGTCAATTGCTTGACAACATTCACTGTCTGCACTGACCGTTCATATCTATGAAAGACGTAGTAATGTAAACTCACGCATGATCTGCCATGATCTGCAATTATCTGTGCGATATCGCTCAACGATACCATTCTCCTTCTGCACTCATTGCCTATGGCCTATGCGTAGTACTTACTAGTCATGTCTATGTCACACATGATCTGCTACAATCTGCAATCATCTGTGCGATATCGGCTTCCGATACCATTCGTTTCTGCACCGATTGCCTGTAGCCTATGCGTAATTACGTAGTCTTAGTCATTCCATCAGCTAATTGATGAAACTAAATCAAATAACTTTTTCATTCTTATAGGTAGATTACCTCTTCATTATCACACAAACACTACTAATCGTACAAGTCCCTTATTTTAAATTAATTTAGGAGCGAGTTATCATCACCGCTATTGTCACTTTCGCTTCCCTCACTAGACATATTCTTAAAACTCAACCATGGATGAATTTTGTCAATCGCCACAAAATTTTCATATTTATTTTAACCTCGCCTAGTCAAAGGAGTGTCTTCGATTACAAACCTGTCATTCGCGAGGATTTTCTTAATGCGGTATGGGCCATGAAACTTTGATATTAGTTTCTTTGATTTGCCCACATGTTCCTTATCTATTGTTGCTGCTTTCAGAGGGTAGTTTAGTACAACTTAAAGTAGTATGCCCTAATCTTTTACAAATGTTGCATCTCAGTATTTTCTTCGTACACTTAGTACTAAAATGACCGGGTTCATTACAATTGTAACAGACGATAGAACTAGAACTAGTTTTAGGCCTTGAATCATTGGTAGCCGTTTTATAATTGGGATTGTGTGACAAACCACTGGTTCTTTTGTCATTAAACCGCGTTTGATCTGATTCGCGCTGACACTGTTTAGTCGATTGAAAGTATTCTAAGACTTGTTCAGGTTCCTGACATGTCAATGCTTTAGCGCCTAATCTTAGCGAACGATCATCTATCCCGTATAGTAAGCAATCGAAGTAGTACAATTCTAAAGATTCATTATATCTAACTCGTTTGGATAACATTTCTGTTAACAGCTCCGCATAATCGTCGGTACTAGGGAATGATTCTGATAATTTATTTTTCCATTCAGGCCAAGAAAAGGACATAGTAGGTAATGTTTGGTACCAAGTCTTAGCAACGCCTGATAATTTGGGCATCGCATAGTGTATGATTTGATCGTCACCCCATTTGTATAATTTTGCACATTCATCAACCTTATTGAGCCACATCTGAATTGTTTGGCCTTTAACCATCGGATCGAAATCCGGCACCACATTACCCAACATCGGGAATTTATTACTTTCGGGGCGATTATTAACTAAAGTATTCACTAATTGGGTCAGTAGCATATGAGTCACATTATCATTACTATTATTGGAACGTCTTACCGGTGAGTTAGATCGCCTACGTGGTGTACTGAGTCCTCTGCAACTGTGTACATCAGCCCGACTCAGTCGGCTGTGCTCGTGATGTCGCCTGTGAGACTCACGACCACTGGTATCGCCACTGGGACTCCTGCGGCGCCGCCGGTGATTCACACGATGACGGGTACGACTACGGGAACTCCTACGGTGTTTACGATATAGCGAACTACTACGTTCTCGTTCACGCCTGCTCCTTTGCAACGAATTTTCCGTATCCGTAGATTTCCTGCTAGGAGTGTCTCTATGCCTTCTTCTTTTCTTTTCACTAGAATACACTGTCACTTTATTGTTATCACGACCGTGTTTCCTTTTTCTCGAACGGGAAGCACGAGAGTTTCCCGTTTCCTGAGGTGTTAGGTATTCGTTTTCCATGAAGGTAGGTTTTAAATATTTTAACGTTATAAAATCGCACTTCAACAATTTTTTTACAATGTGAGCGCTTCCGCTTAAAATATAGTACCAACCTGTTCAATCCCACTTCTGAGATGAAGGAGTCGGGTCAGGTTCACATAAATAGCAAGAGATTGTGTAACTATTAAGGGATTAAATCCACACAGTACAACGGTTACAGCACAAGTGTCCATTAGATCGAATATCAACTGCCAACCCGCACTGCTGTTTTTATTATCTCTGGAGAACGAACGAGTGAATGTAAAAATACCATCTTAGTACTAATACAAGTTGTCATTATCGAGTATCGCTATAGAGTCTACGAGTAAATAGTCGACTAAATGTAGTGTAAGTTAACACTTATAAGTAATAATAATGATGAATAATATTTTCGAATATATGACACACAACGCCATCTAGTTTCAAACAAAACATTGACAATATTTTAGTACTTAACCTCGAAACATTCAAAAGCCAATATCTTTTTTCCTAGACTTCTTTCGCTAGTAATTTTTTTATGAGAATGTTCAAGAATAAATTCTCAAGGGTTTTAGGCATTTTTGATATTTAAACGCTGTCATTTCACTTCAAATAAAATTATGTATGGGGACCTGCCATTGTTCTTTGGCACAATTTTAAAAAAAGTGAACACGTATGTTCGCTTTCGCGATCCGGGGAAAAGGGGAATATAATTATTCTATTTTTTAGGCAAAAAAATTACTTCTAAAAATACCGATGCTTTTTTGCAATACCCTGCATTAATAGAGACGGAATATCTGTAAAAGCTACATTACCATCTTCACTAAGTTTGGCCACAACACAACTATAGTTTTTTTTATGTATGCAGATTGTACCAACAGTCTCCAGCGCCTGGCTCTGTCTCGTCGTGAATGTGACGGCATCCCTGACTGTGCTAGTGCGGAGGACGAGCGTGGTTGTGCTCATTGCGCGCCTGGTCGGGGTGGCGGACTGCGGTGCGCATTGCATACACGCTGTCTACCGGCACATTTGCGATGCGATGGCACGCCTGACTGTCCCGACGGGAGCGACGAAGCAGGGTGTTGTGAGTTCCATTACTCATTTTTCAGTTGTTACCAAATCACCTATCTGTGCAATATAAGAAACATTATTAGTTCTTATTAATTTATGTTTTATGAGACTTATGTTCAGGATTTTGCTAGAAAGTTTAAGAATAAATATGTCTTTACTCGTAAATTCTTCAGTATGGATCGCGCGCTCGCTGGCTTCATGGAGAAGAGAAAATAGCGAAACAACACTGGGTGCTATACGCAACCGTGCTGGGTACGCCGTGTGGTCGGAGAGAGGACGTAACGGCAAAATATGTGCATCACCTTATGAGCAAGACAAACGAGCTTTGAATAGCGTCTCAGCATCGCTCTGCAAGGCTCTGACATTCAAGTGAGATTGTTTGTTAAATTAAAAAAAATTAAAAAAAAATAAGAATTCATCTTTTTCTTTTTCAGTTGGTCTTTTAGACAACCTAAACTATCACGATAAAAATAAAATATTTATTGATAAAATAAATTCATTGTTCCAGGGCGGCCTTAAATGCAGAGGTGGTACTAGATGCTGAAGATGCAGTTCAGAGTGATAACTCGGACAACTTAATTGAAAAACCAGAATATGTTGAAATTGTAGATCCATTCGCTCCAGAAATTTCTTTTGTGAAAAGTGACTGTCCAGACAGAAAAGTTATAAGAGTAATTTGTGATCAGTTAGGTAAGATTATTTTAACAGTGTAAACTATAAAGGTTAGGTGTACATTTCTTTGGTAACAACTTATTTCTCACTATTGTGTGTATGGCCGTTAATGTATGGTGTTCTCCAAATCCATCCATCAAACAATATACCAACATGTAAGTTCAAATAAAAAACGAGGTCGGTTGTTACAGAATGTGGAGTCCCATCTGCCCGAATATCTAAGGTGACAAGTGGGGTGGAGGGATTGCCTCGCTCGGCGCTACCGGGCGATTGGCCATGGCATGCTGCATTACTGAGGACTTACGTACATGCCTGCGATGCTGCTCTTATACACCCATCTTGGCTTATCACCACTGCATCTTGTTTTCAGGTATCCTTGTGCTCTAAAATCTTTTTATGACATTTTATTCAATACTTTATCCATAACGTGTATTTTTTTGTGGAACATATTCTAAAGAGAAAGATAAAACATTTTTAAAGACTGTTTAATAATCTATGTTCCTCTTTATCTCGAGCTAAACTAAAACGTTGTCTTGGGAGTGGAATTTTGTTGTTACCATTCGACCCTAGCTTTTACTGCGGATGACAACTAAAGCTTGCAAATTACTGACGTTGCAATTTTATTTATTTTCAGGGACAACCCAAGGCTGAATGGACAGCAAGATTCGGGACAGTGCGCGCACAAAGCACGACTCCTTGGCAGCAAGAAAGACGAATAGTTGGCATGGTGCGTTCCCCGGTAGAGGGTAGTATGCTCGCGTTAGTGCGACTGGAGGAACCGGTGGAGATGACGGACTTTGTGAGACCAATTTGTCTTCCTGAAAACGGTGTTGAACCTGCCACACGGAGTGTATGTAACACCTTGGGGTGGACCAGAAATAGAGACCAACTACAAAGAGTACACTTGGTCACAAGTCCAATGAACACATGTGAAAATGTGAGCATAGCCACTGCGAACGGAATTTGCGCTGAACCTTTGTATGATCAGGATGACTGTGATGTAAGTAATCATGACTGTTATTTGTAGAAATCTATTTTTCGGTAAATTTTGGGAGTTGAAAAGGCTATATTCGTTCTATATTATTCTCAGCGTGTGCGTACGTGAGCTGGACGTCACATTTTTGTAACCATCCGGTTTACTTCACTATGACATCAGAGGTTTGTCATTATGACGTCAGTGAAGTCATAACGATGTCAATACATAGAGATCAAGTAGATGTCATATTAACGTCATCATTTTTGGTAAGAATCTTAAGTTAGGAAATGGGAAATTTTGAGTCATATGTGACTTGTATCTTACATATATCTTGACGTGGTATGACATCATTCTGACATCAGTTTGACATAATTGTGTTCGCTGGGCACGGCCTCTTTCTAATTTCATTTGGGTTGGCTAAATTTGTAACTTTCCAAAGGGTTAGGGCTTTCGTATTGCCGGCCGCCTACCCTCTAATCTAATATTCATGCAAATGTCCTCCAATGAAAAGAATGGAGGAAGAAAAAGTGTAGTAAAAATATATATGTAGAGATAAGGCGTGAAAGTTAAAGGATAGCTCAAATCTCGGATAAGAAATGGAATTGAGATGGATTTGATTGAGATTGCAGTATTTGCAGGGACATCCACTGGGAATCTATCACTCAGTATAGTATACAAATTAATTACATTACATAACATCTGCAATTTTATTTCATTACTATCTCTACCAGTATACCAATAATAAATTTGAATTTTTGCATAGAATGTTTGCTTGTTAGTAAAGAAATGTAAGATATTTTGAGAAAAACGCCAACCGTTTGCTAGTAATAACAGAAAGGTTTCTTGCAGGAAGAAGAATATGCAGGAAGTACAATGATGTGTTTTAACGAGAAAACTAAACAGTGGTCGCTAGAGGGAGTAAGCGGTTGGCGCATTGCTTGCACGAAAATTGGACTAGGGCGTCCTCGCATCTATGATTCAATTAGCTCACATGTCGACTGGATACGAAGAACAATATCAAACTCTGCAAGGTGACCTAATTGAGCAAATAATCCTTGGTTAAGACTGCAATTAATGCCTTGTAAGTACAGTAGTCTGTAAAGAATTTACAAAAATTACGATAATAAGATTATTGGATATGCGTTTTTTAATTGTAGAGTTCATTTTTTGTAATAAGTGTACGTTATCATAAGTGTCCATACCTTTAACTGAATATATGATTCAAAAATAAACGCTATGGGTTTCTCAACCTGAGATTCAATCTATCATTTATGTATTGTATTTACTTGTTTATGGGTTGTTCAAAACGACCGTGGTATTATAGCTATTTAAATGTACAATTATGCTAATGTATAATTCATTGTATAATATTAAGGTAGCTTTAAAAAATTAATATTGATAAGTTGAATTATTTGACAATATATAACAAATTAGATTAAGTAATAAAGTTAATAAAATGGAAAGAATTGCAGGTCGGAACATAGTACATGACATGTACTAGGTTCTGGTACATAGGTTGTAAATTAATCCCCATTTCTAATACAATGTATTCAAAATAAGGATTTATTTTCCAATATTGTTTAGTTTTTTTTTATTTACATTTTTGGAAAACAAAATAAAATGATGGTTTAATGCACGTGTTGACATAAATATGAAATTTGTTTCATGTTTACACGTAAATTACTATCTAGGTTAGAAAACGACAGACCTGTTGGGTATGCTTTTTATTTACTATTTTTGATGAAACGAAGTGCTATATTAAGCAGTTATATCAGTGGAATAGAGAGCTTGATATGAAATATAATGTAGTCAGAATATTTAAGTTCATTAACTTTTAAGTAGGTACCTATCTGATAGTTCACTTTAAACTAACAATACTTGAAATATAGAACTCCTGATATAATTAAATTTTGTTAATTGTAATGAATTGTAAAATGTAGAATAATATTTTTTCTTTTTTGTAAGTGCCTGTAGAAAAACGTAGTTGATATTTAAGATTATAATTTATTGACTTTGAAATTTTATTGTTATAATTCATTAATGTACCTATTGATTGTAAATATTAGTTTAAGAATGGAACCAAAATTTTTAAGTACTTACTCAATATATTTTATAAAAATATTGTTCTTGTTTCATTACTTCTAGATTTTAACATGTCATGATATGATATTATGTCACCATAACTTACTTTGTAGAAAAATTTGTAGATTGTAGAAAAAAGTGAAGATTCCTGAAATAAATAACTTTGGTCCCTTTAGAGTGGAGTTTTCTATGGTATTCTGAGACAATTAAAGAATTTCAATTTTGGATTATTTAAGCTGTATAGGTAAATACATTTGAACTAGTTACTCTCCTCGAATACAGTGACAATCGTCAAATACTCTAATTCATGTTCTTAAAAAGCATTTTATCCTTACTCCTTGAACAATCACACCATAACCACATTAAAACCCACATTTAAAAGGAAAACCTTATGTTTTAAAAATCACTAGCTTTTGCCAGTAGCTCTGGCTTTTTCTGCATGTATTTTGGTTATTGTAGTAACTGGTAGCCTGTGTTCTTATTCTAAAATCAAAGTTTTACCATGCCAAATTTAATTAAAATCGCTTCAGCAGTTTAGCCGTGAAAGTGTAACAGAAGGTGTTACTTTCGCCTTTATGATAGTAGGAATAACTTTTTCATCCACCTGATTCTACGTAAACCCAGTTTTTGCATTAATGTTTCAGGTTCTTAATATTCTCTTATGTAACAGTACAAGTGCTACTACAAGTATATCAAGATTTAAAAACATCCTACCATGGTTGCAGTATACAATTGACTAAAACAGACATGTATTAATCTGTTTTTGCTTGTCATCTAGAAAGGAAATCCCTGGTACCCCAACGTACCTCGAGCCATCCACGGCGTGTAGATGACTCCCTCCTGTGTGGGAACCCCCATGTTCCCTTTGTGCTCCCAAAAGGTGCGTGCGCACTCGGCAGCACGTCTCGCCGCCCCTCCGACCTGCTTCTGCTAGGGTGACGGAAGGCCTCACCTGTCACCCCCAGGCCTGCGCTTATGGAGGACGGAGGTCGTTCTGCGACCACGCCTCTGCTCCACCCACGTCGGGCATTCTGCCAACGCGTGGAGCGCCGTGTCCGCGCAGTGGTGGCACTTAGGTGTTCGCTACTTGTGTTTCAGACACAGGTGATCTCCGAAATAACCTTTCCCGGTGATCTCTTGCCTCAACCGGTATGAAAGGGTTCCGTGACGCCTCTCGAGCCAATCCTTCATAGCGGGTCTTACCGTGGCCATAATGGCGTGCCCGACAATTCCCAAACTAAGAAGTTATCCTGAGTCACGGGGAACTTTACAAACATGCAAGAAACTGACCAACAATTTGAGGATCACACAAAGTATTGCCCCATATGTGGACCGAACCACTATGCCATTTGTCTGTCAGTCTTTTATACTAGGCCTCAAACAACCTGATGGTACTGGCAAGTAAATACTAAATTCAAAAACAAATATTCTAAGGATTTTTTTCTTAAGTAGTCATGTATCTCAAAAAAGTGTAATATTTACCCTCATTGTTGAAATAAAATGTTACCCTATTAATATAATAAGTTGATATTAAAAAATAAAATTAATATAAATGAATAGCAGTTAAATGTATTTAAATAACATAGTTTTTATAGTTTACAATAGCTCTTTTAACAGTTTTATACACAGAGATATGGATATATAATGGATAATTTTCAATTTGTTTTTTGATTGAATATTAAGTAGTAATTAATTATTTACATATATAGCTTTGAAGGTGATACACATCACTTTACTAGTAACTACTACTAAAATCTAACATATATGTCTACTAACACATGTGTTAACCTAATTTATTTAAACACCTCAATTGTAAAAACTGTAAGGTAATCTAGTGTTCATTGTGAGGGCTCCTCTTATCTTAATTTGATCTAAGTTTGTCTATGTACAAGTCTAATAAACAATTATCACATTTTTTTAACTGCAAAACTTCAAGAAAGGCATCATTTTTAAATTTATTTCTTGTATTGAGACACCTTCGGAACCTGCCCACTAACACTTCATGCTTTTGATTAGTCAGGCAATAGTTATAAAAAAATTGTTGATCAATACTAAAACTCCTATTTATGCCATTTTTGAAAAATCTATAAAATAACTGCTCTCTGGAGTTACACATATTTTGGATTTCGATCCATTCCTCTGTTGTTACACCAAATAAAAGTCCAATGCAAGGTCCCTTTACAACACATGTTACCTGCCCTGCTCTATCAGCTATTCTCAAGGTAGCTGTCGATGTTATTTTGCTTTTCCAGTTAGAGATCTTGACTGATTCCAGATAATATTCTGTCAACAAACCCCAGCATTCGGCATGTAACTTAAGTTTGCGAGCTTCCGTTATTTTAATAGGTGCGTTGTTCTTATAGAAACTGTCGTCCGGTTGCGTAGTCATGGGATTCTCGTCTGCATAGATGCCGTTGAGACCATTGTCCACTCAATTGACTGAACTCAAGATTATTTATTAAATATTATATAGTACTACTAACTAGCAGGACAAGAGAAGTCAACATTTTTCAAATTTTGACACTTGGATGATTTTAGACAGTGCTGCCAGCATTTAAGTATAGTATTATTAAGAATACAAATTATTAAGAATACAAACGAATTTTCCTTGAAACAGCATAATTTTTCTGTTTGTAAGTTTAAGATGTTTTCCGAGCTTGCTTTTTTGGTTATTAATTATTTATAGGTATTTATAACTAATATGATATGTGAGAACAAGGAGTCGATGGTTTCTTACGTAATGTTTCCACATTACTAAAATATTCGTTCTTAAATTCATTTACGGAGACGTCAAGTGTGTGACTTAGTCTTGTGCTTAATCGGACATCTGCAGGTTCGCACCGTACTAGTACAATTCGTACAACGTACTAGCACACCGTAATAGTACTATTAGTACAGTTTTAGTAGAAGTAGAAAACTTAAGCTTTTGTATTGATATTACCAACATTAATGAAACGGAAGACTAATAATTAAATAAATTAAAATACGTAATTAAAAGGCTTTGTATTAGGCAGTTACTTTTTACTTACAGTATAGAAATAATTACACAGTTCTTGATTATTTTTAATGTGTTATCCCTTTCTGAATCCCATAAACCTTAACAGTTTGACTTTTAAATACGATTTTTTTGATTACTTTACACTAAATTTTTAAGAATACTGTTTGATTTTAATTCATACTTTACAACCTAACGTATTGTAGTACATTCTGTATCGCTGTCCCTTTTACTCTTACACTGTTTACCAATACGGAACAATAAAGTGAAGCATTAATAGTACGTCACACAGCGAACGAACGTAGACACTAGTAGACAGAGTAAACAATAGATAGTTTTAGTACTGGCTTGAAGTTGACACTGTGTACTAATAGTGCAAAACGTCCGATTAACAGCTGCCTTTCGGCAACATTACTTTTAGTACAATACTCCGTACAGTAATACCTATCAGAACATCGTACGTGTACTACCCAAGACTAGTGTGTGTTGAACTAGTGTCAAACAAAACGTCAAAAAAATAAGGTTATTGTAGATCTAGTTTTGCTGTCATTCATGTCGTGACATTGTGGTTATATTTTTTCTTACATAATTCACTAAGGTGTATTATACAGTTTTTATCAATACACCACAATACAAACTCAATTTTATTCAATGCGAATAGGCTGGATTCAGAAGTTGGTAAACAAATGGCCTGGAAAAAAGACCTTTGGAATGTATAGATTCCTGCCAATGTTTTTCGTTCTAGGCGCTGCATTGGAGTTTTCTATGATTAACTGGAGAGTCGGGGAAGTAAACTTTTACAACACATTTAAAAAACGACAAGCTCACGACATTGTCGAGGAAAAGATTAGAAAATACGCAGCAACCACATAAAATGCCAGCCGGAGTAACTTGGGGTCAATATCTTACGTATTCAGCTGCTGCTATGATGTCTATGCTAGCTGGCTCACAAATGGTGCATCAGTACTATAAACCACTCCATGATTTAAATAAGTATATCAATAAAGAACTGCAGAATCTTCCAGAACACATACAAATTCAAATTAAAAAAGAACTTACAGAGGAAGGTGTGTTGAATAACAATTAATGTAGATTATTTATATTATTATTTAGAGATGTAAATAAAGGAATACAATCAGTTTTTTTTTCTGAGGTGTTTATTTTTTAAGTTGGACTTTGTATACTAGTTAGAAGTTACACTCCCCCATAACATAGACCTGTGACATATTAGACTTGGTAAAGTAAGGGAATAATAATTAGTATAATAATACAAATATGGTGTTTGTTTATTTTTACTCAATGTATGGTTATGTATTTAATAAGGTCAAATAGGAGGTTACATTTGGCCTGTAGAGGGGTGCCAGCTGTACCTAAGCATAGGCCGTAGACCCAAGGGGCTGCATAAATAACCAAACCAGCAATTAATGGATGTAGACACATCTTTCTATTTAAAAATATATTTTTGAGGAGGAGCAATTATACAAGTTTGTACTGGCCGTCATTACGTGTGCGTTACCCCAGCAAAATAATGTCGAAAATGGTGTCATTTAAACTTTATAGATAATTAGTTGCTCCCCTTCTGTAATTGTTAAGCACATTTTTAAATTTGTTTCACTTAAACTTTTTTAGTTATTTCAAAAAAACATTTCCTTCTGGAGTAACGTTTGAAACGTTACCGCAGCCAGACATTTTCTTTTTTAATTGTAATATTGAAATAAATTTTAGCTAAATAATTAGTTATCTGGACTAGGTAAATGTTACAACTTATTTGGTATTTGTATTTTCTTCGGCTGCGAAGTTATTCGAAATCCTGCTGGAGTAACGTTTGTGGGTTTGCTGGATCTCTGAAACGGGTAAGCGGATTGTAACCATCTTTTGTACATAACTTTTTAGGGATTAGTTTTAATTTGTTCGACAATAAAATAACAAAAATAATGGACCGTTTAAAAATTATTTAGGTAAGTATGAAAACACTTCAATACGTCCTAACACTTTAAATAAGACCTCTAAAGACTTACTTGAAACGTTATTCTATTGCTTGTAACTACCTTCAAATGTATACGAATTTTCGTAAGAATACTGTGACTAAAAAGTTATGATGAAATGTAGCTCTCCACGTTCACGATCACAATGTGTGCGGCCTTTTTTGGCCACCGATAAACCTGTGTGTGGATATATAAACTGAATGTTATGCCAATAATTAGTTGTTTAGTTCAGTTGTCTACCTGTAAAATTTCAGCGTAGTACATATAATAATTTACGAGATAATCAAATAAAAGTCATTAGAAGGTGCAAGACCGTGGTAACCCGACCATGTTTAGGTGGTTACAAAAAAGCGATCACCCAGTACATTGTGCTGGCTTTTAAAATATGTAGGATATTATTTGCAAGTTTACTACGGATATGTACATAAGTGTTACAAAAAACTACATGTTTTTTAAATATTTTTTATTTAGGATTGTTTATTGCATAATTAGTAATCTGCCGGGAGATTAGGTATTGTTTTGAATGCTTTTGTTTTCTCGTAATGTTTAGGTGAATTGTTTATAGTTGTTCATAGAATTGGTAGGTACCTGCGTAGTATTTGTTAATTGAAGTTTAATTTTAGGGTAGGTATAGGTAATTTAAGTTTTGAAGAGTGTAACGTACCTATGCGTTGTAAATAGGTATTTTGTGAATAGATGGGGATTTTTTTAAGTGATGAATCGACTTAGGCTAGCATATCGCGAACAAACTCTATATTGCATTATTTCTGTAATAATGTTGGAGAAAATAAAATATTTGATCACAAAATCGCGGTGAGTTAAATTATAATAAAATACATTATTTATGTAAAATTAGTAATAAGTGATATACCTACCTACCTACAAGTTATGATCGTTTTTAATTTGTTCACCCTGAACGAAATTTCAATATTAGCATTAGTAATTAATATCCTAAGACAAGAATTGACAATTACTTAAATTGAATCGAATTAGCATTAATGCCCATTATTAGTAATTAGGTACACACATATTGAAGAACTCTCAAGAATACGATAAATATTTGCAAAAATAGAAAGAGGTAGCGCACACGTACTTTACAACACGTATATTATCTGCCTAAGGGTCAAGTTTAGTGCACTAGATGCAAATTGCAAACAATGAAGTATCCCTTTGCCCCTCCCCTCCCGCGTTCTAGCGAAGGATATTTTAGCAGCGATTCTTGATTGACAAATATTATCTGACCAATAATTTTATCTATAAAAATGTATCACTTTCACTCGAAAAATTAAATTACCGTTATTATATCAAAATATCATTCAACAACTGTTCGTTTTTAACAGAAATCAACAGTCACGGGCTCAACGCTTAACGGTAGGTACATAGGTATAGATAATTCTCGGTTCTCGGTATAGACCACAGAACAATATTACCTACTCTTACGAGATTTACGACTGTTGGGCGATGCAATGTTGATGCATTCTAATTTACAACTGTATTCTTCTACTATTCGGTCTATTTTAACTTATTGTAGATGACTTGTTGCTTTAAATATTTTGATGCATTCAAGTCTAAACTCTATACACCCCAAAATAAAATACATTTACTTTAGTGTTATTTCTTTACAAAAAAAATCAAAGAAATGAAACGATTTATTATTGGTTTAAATTTTCGATTTATTGCAGTCAGGTGAATCATTCATACATGTATCTACATATTTATAATTTTAGCGGACCAGTGCAGAATTTCTGTTGATTGATCTCCGGTAGTAAAAAAGACTAAAGAAATTTTAAGTAAAGAAACTAGTGCTTAAGATCAATTAGGGAAAAAAAAACAAAATAAATAATAGGTAATAATAATGAATAAATATTGAATGTATTTAACACTGTACGCAACTGTACCGAAATCGTAAGGTGTATTACACTAAACATTTTAAAAGACAGCGCAATGTACTGGGTGATCGCTTTTTTGTGACCACCTAAACATGGTCGGATTACCACGGACTTGCACCTTCTAATGACTTTTATTTAATTATCTCGTAAATTATTATATGTACGACGCTGAAATTCTACAGGTAGGCAACTGAACTAAACAACTAATTATTAGCATAACATTCAGTTTATATATCCATACACAGGTTTATCGGTGGCCAAAAAAGGCCGCACACATTGTGATCGTGAACGTGGAGAGCTACATTTCATCATAACTTTTTAGTCACTTACAGTATTCTTACGAAAATTCGTATACATTTGAAGGTAGTTACAAGCAATAGAATAACGTTTGAAGTAAGTCTTTAGAGGTCTTATTTAAAGTGTTAGGACGTATTGAAGTGTTTTCATACTTACCTAAATAATTTTTAAACGGTCCATTATTTTTGTTATTTTATTGTCGAACAAATTAAAACTCATCCTTAAGAAGTTATGTACAAAAGATGGTTACAATCCGCTTACCCGTTTCAGAGATCCAGCAAACCCACAAACGTTACTCCAGCAGGATCTCGAATAACTTCGCAGCCGAAGAAAATACAAATACCAAATGAGTTGTAATATTTACCTAGTCTGGATAACTAATTATGTAGCTAAAATTTATTTCAATATTACAATTAAAAAAGAAAATGTCTGGCTGCGGTAACGTTTCAAACGTTACCCCAGCAGGAAATGTTTTTTTGAAATAACTAAAAAAGTTTAAGTGAAACAAATTTAAAAATGTGTTTAACAATTACAGAAGGGGAGCAACTAATTATCTATAACGTTTAGATTTTAGAACCATTTTCGACATTATTTTGCTGGGGTAACGCACACGTATATCAATTGCTTTTTTTATACATTACTATCAATTGTGTATAATTTTACAGTGTATTAGTTGTATATATCTACTACATACTTCAAGTACTTTATAAATTAATACACTAAACAAAAAGTAAAACTGATTACAGTGTTTTGCTTTGCAAAAACATACTTAACTAATTTTTCCAAAACACTGTATCTAATGTATCCCCTTCTGGACGTGCAAGCTCAGAACACCATGCATCTGGGCGTCAGATTCCATCCGCAGAGATCATGATACTTGGCTAGGCTCACCCAAACGGATTACGCGGGGACATCTGTTTACGATTTCATCCTGACCTATGGCTTCTAACAAGTGGTATCAACGCTTAAGCGAGCCCCAGATGTGGAAAGTCATGGGCCTTCACTGTTGGACCTTCTGCTCATCTCTGATCTGGACGGTTACAAGGTCACTGTTGGGACTGCTAACTTGGCTCTTCGGATCATTGCCTTATCCGGAGTCAGGTGCCACTAATGTGCTCGACGCGGCTGCGAGTAGCAGGCTGACGCCACGTATGCCACTGTAGGTCAGCTGACTGGGATGTGCGCTCTTTCTTTGCGTCCTATAGTTGGGGAGCCTATGATGCTGAATGTGGATTTACTCGACCTGTGGATGGGGACCTATTTCATTTGAAAGATTAGGTAAAAGACTGAATAAAAGTTTTATAATGTATCCACTTTAGCGGTGGGAAAAGCTTCTACAGGTAATCAAAAATGTAAGGGGAGCAAATTGATAGAATAAATATTCGGATGCATCAGATATTTTGGGGATACCTATGTTATTTGGACGCCAAAAATGCTCCGATTGAAAGGTCTGACGATTTTAAAGTGACATAAGCTCATAGCGAATTATCAAAAATGCAATTCGAAAAATAGCAATCTCGAAATGCAACAGCGTTTAGATTTTATACAGTCGGTTCAGCTTGATATTCCTGTCATACTGGCTAAAAATGTGACGAAAATTTTGCAGGGTATTTTAAATCTGACGGTTAGAAATATTTTGGTATTTTAAAAAATGTGATAAATAAAGGCACGAAAAATGTAGACTTTTAAAAACGATTTCTTTCATTGTTTACTTCAAAATAAAATGTCAAAATCATGGGTTTTTTTAAACTATGTGCCACTGCTTTATGTGATGCTCAATTTGTCTGATTTTTAAATTAAATACACACTAATGTGCATGTGAATGACTCAACTTATCTTAGTATTTCTGGCCCTCGATTCAAGTTCAAGTAGATTCGAGAATGGTTTCGATTCACAATTCAGTCCACTACAAAATGTTTTTTTAGTCTACGAACTATAGGACCAGGAACCAATGAAAAAGTTGCAAAAACGGGTAAAGTTTATTTTTTTGAGGAACGCAGACAAAGTAGCGTGGGTCAGCTAGTCTTTACATCATATAATTCTTCTGTGCGTGTGTATGTAACTGAACTCTTCCTAAACGTTTGGAACGATTTTAATGAAAATTTTTGTGTGGTCAAGTGGATTCGAGAATGGTTTAGATTCACAATTCGGTCCACTGCAAAAAAATATTGTTAAATTTTTAGTTTAAGACGTGTGTAAAGGACAACGTCTGTCGGGTCGGGTCACAGTCGCGTCGCTGGCAAAAACAAAATCACGAATGTAGCTGTCGATGACGTGTCATCGAGTAGGTATCTCGATGTAATATATAAATAATAGGAATCTAGGTAACTTTCATTAAGTAGGTATTTTTAACTTTTTACTTTAAGTAGGGACAATAATTTTAAAGTAATGAATGATTTCAAATTTCAAAACAGGAATTTTATTATGCTAACATTAATAAAAGTCAAATGCTCATAATATTATTAGGTATTTAAGTGTTTTATCTCTGATCGTCTGAACATATTATAGTATATTTCAAGCAAAAGATTGATACTTATGTACTTACAATACAAAACATGTATTTAATAAATAATTTATCTCTCTCTGACATTACTAAGGACTTAAGACTAGAAGTAGGTACCTACACATTAATGAAAATATTATTTTTCGTAAACTCTTCGATCTAGCTCTTAGACTATCCCTACCTTAAAAATTGTATTCATTATATCTTCGAAACTAAGACCCGACTGAATCTGTGACTGTGACTGGACAAATTCCGAATAATTAGCTACTAAATTTTGAAGAAAATAGATTTCGAGATATAAACATGGCTAAACTGGGGAGATTATCCCTAGATCGGCCACCTATAAAGCTTATAACTTTTGAACCAGTGACCGACAAGTTCTGATATTTGGTGACAAATTTCGATTAATTAGCGACATTTTTTTCGTGTTATCAAAATTAAAATCTCTGTTGGTGTCCAACACAACTTGACACCTTCTTTATGTCTATAAATCTGTCTACGTCAGTAAAGGACAACAACATGGTAGTGACTCCAGATTTGCATGCATTCATGGACGATGTAGTCACTTTTCAGCAGGTAACCGTACCTACATCATAAAAAAAATAACCAATAAGAGCTTTGAAAAAACTATTTAGAAACTAAAATTAAACGTAAGTAGGCCCTTATTACTTATTAGTCATCAATTTTATAATGATGCGGGTCTAATATGATTAATAAATTTGCATTCTATTTTAAAACTCGTCTGAGAAAACATTTATTTTATATACCTACGGTAGAATCGATAAGTTTTTCCTTATATAGTGGATAGTACAATGACGCTTACAACTTCTTGACGTTCAGGATGTTTGGGTGTTCGTTCTTGTTAGGGTAAGGGAAATACTGTGCGGGGAAAGCCCGCAACAATTCACAAATAATAAGTAAAGCTCTCATCTACCTTTCTACTCTGTAGACCTTGAGGTCATCAGAAACTTTTCGACATGGAAATTTTTAAAGGGGAGCTGATGTAATAATACTATTCATAAATATTGTAAATATATACAGTGAAAGTGTATTATGTGTATGTATACTACCCTGAATTTTTATATATCCGTTTTAAGGTTGTCTGTAAAAGATCGCCGTAAGCGATAAGACTGCTGCCGATTGTTAAGTCTATAAATAAATAAATATATGTATATGGATCTGTACATCTTGTTTGCACATACTTTGCAATGAATATAGCCATCTATTTATCCATTATTATATCTAATGGAAGTTTATCTTTGACTAGCTGGCCCGCGCAACTTCAACAAAAATTTACCCGTTTTTTGGAGCATTTTTATTACAGCTCGGCTCCTATTGGTCATAGCTTGAGGCTGTATAGAATATAACCTTCCTCAATTAATGAGCTTTCCAACACTAAAATATTTTACTCGAACCAGTAGTTACAGAGATTAGCACGTTCGACCAAACAAACTCTTCATTTTTATAATAAATCACGAATTTTTCTAAAAGACGAGGTCTTAAATAACTAATATTTAAGACCTGACCTGAATGATAACAGTACGAACCTAAAATTAGACCACACATTAGTTACTGTTGTGACACACTGTGTAATTGGATCTGTGTAGTGATTGCAGTATCACAACTTACTCTTTTTTACTTGGTCATCCACGGCTTATACATGACCTCTCCTCCTGTTTGATCTATCCGGATTAATATCCGGATAGATCACAGAGGAGAGGTCATGTGTTATACCCTACAGCCTACAGACATGTTTCTTGTGTAGCAGTACCTTTAAAAAACACGATTGTCTATTTAGGAGACAGTTAATAGTTATATGTATAATTATTAACTGCCTCCTAAATGACTTACAAAAAAATATTTGGACGATAGACTAGATAAGTTCATAGTTAGTTAAGTGATTTTTGCCATATCCATATGTCTCCATATTTATCAACTGTAAAAGTTTGCTTCATATGAAACATTTGTTTCCATAGCAGTGGTTACCTATCTCTCGTAAAGCGTAGGTGCCTACGTGAGTGGTACCTTATATTGGGGGGTGGGCGTTGACATTAAGTAGGTACGGTTTTTGTCAACGGAAGGCAATGACGAATTGGCGATATTTAAATTTATTTTGTGGGTTGAGGCTGTATCGCGTCTCTCGCGTATGTCTCAGTGGAAGTAACTGGCAGTAGGCTTCGCGCCGGCGCGCAGTGTGAACGTGCTTGCGCGTTTTTTAAACGAGCACTGTGCTCTCGAGTGTAGCTGCAATATCGAAAACGAAACACACCAATCAACTGACATGGAAGTTGCAGATCAATGGCGGCGGCAGTGGGCAGGAACTGCCGAATATGGCAAGGTAAGGTCACAAGCTAAGCATCCCTACTTAAAATTTCAGACACTACATTGAGTTATTTATTTAGGTAGATGAGAACTTGCCACCAAAAAAAAGCTCCTAAAAATAAATGAATCTAATTTGTGAATGCGAGCTTTCTTATCTGTATGAATACAAGGGTAATAGGTACGTAAGCTCAGTGCTCAAATATGTTTAAGATTTGTGACATGTATACAATTATGTATGACTGTATGTAGATATACAAATCAGTTAAGATTTCGACATTTCGATTTACAAGAGGTCATTGCCAAAAGGCTGAAGTGGTCAGTTCCATTTACGGTGTTAAAACTCAGGACGACGAGTCGGTCGAGCTATTAAATTAAATTTTAGAATATGCAATTTGTTGTTATCACCGTAAGGCTTATTATTGTGTGAGACGTTATTTCAAACCTGTCTGAGCTAGTTCAGTAAGTTTTTTAGTACGTTTCTTCCTTCGAAGTTAAAAAACAATACATACAAGTCTTGCCGAGCTATTTAACATTTTGATGGTCTGGATCTAAGTTGCTTAAACATATCCACGTACCTATTTCGGAAGCTCTCTATAAACATTTACTCTCGTAAAGTTGATATGCGATTAAAGGGTTACATATCTTAGTACTTACACCGCGATAGTTTGGAGAAAAGTCGTGTGTTATATAATCTGCTCTATTGAAAATTATTTTATGAAATAAACCAAACACAAATAAGAACTTTTCAAATCAATTTCACAATCTAGATTTAGAGTTAGGCAATAACAGTTAGGATTTAACGTAATCACGAATGTTATAATCGATGGTGATGTTAAAACAATGATATTCTCGACTCCAATACAATGATACTTGAATAGTGAAAGTGGTGTCATACGTGAGGAAGCTATTGAACGTTTCGGTTAACTCATTTCCTATACATTATCTACTAACAGGAAATGAGATAGCTGTAAGAAAACAATCCTTTGTTAACTCTTTTCGCGAACTTGGAGTTTAATGTCACTCTTCATTACGCAGAGCTGCAGCAAATAGCTGTGAATATCTGAGACTCAGGCACTCGGAATTGCCTTGATATACCTAAGCTAGGTTGTTTTTATTTCTCACATTCGATAACAACGCATTTTTTTAAAATACCTTAAGTGATACGGCTAACGAACCGTTGTTAGTTGAACTCGGGTTCGTGTGCAGGCTGCCGGAAATCCTGCGCAAAGGCCGCGGTTTGCGAGGCTGTACAGCACTGCGCTATCCGCTGTTTGTCTCCTATTATTAGTGCAAGCCAACTTATCATCATTGCGTGAATGTCATGCTTATAATGATTGCATACGCACCTGATTGCATTGCACCTGCTAACGCACTAGTGCTTCACAATTACGAATTTAATGTTGTCATTACCTGTTAAATACTTAGATACTATCCATCTACCACATGTTGGTTGGTACCACTTACAGTTAACTAGATCTGTAATACAGTAAATTAATAGTGTGAACTTATTATTCAATGTTATTCGAAATATTTCATTATTTTGTTAATGTACATAAATTTAAAATTTTAATTAGTATTTTGAATGACATCAAAAATATTTCAGATCAAGTAAAATTGTTTATCATATGATACTGTCCACGAACGTGAGTATATCTATATACTAATATTATAAAGAGGTAATGTTTGTGAGTTTGTATGTTAGGGGTAATCTCAGGAACTAGTGGCTTGAACTGAAAAGCCTTTTAGTGTAGGATATCCCCGTTATCGTGGAGGGATATAGGCTATTATAACGGGTTCCCTTTATGTGGCAGAATCTTGATGACCCGAATTTATTTCGCACTAGCTGAGACCCGCGGTGTTACCCGCGTTTGTTGTTATAACCGCGGGCAACGCCGCGTGGCGAAGCTAGTCTAAAAAAGTAGCCTAAGTTACTCCTTATGTCATCAGCTATCTGCCAGTGAAAGTCCCGTCGAAATCGGTCCAGCCGTTCCAGAGATTACCCGGAACAAACAGACAGACAGACAGACAAAAATGTATAAAATGTTATTTTGGCATATGTACCGTGTAAACATATATATGCATTTAGTAAAAAGCGGTTATTTTAATATTACAAACAGACACTCCAATTTTATTTATTTGTATAGATGTATAGATAACACACTTGGCAGAATCTTCTGTATACGAATATTTTTAAGGCATAAAAATAATTTAGTATAATTATTGTTTGGCCGAATGTTAATATGTCCGAATTTACAATGACATACTTTTCAGATGGCATAATTTTATTTAGAATACCTTTGGCAGAGTTAAAATGCCGCATAATTTCGTTTAGTACAACGTTTATTTAGAGCGACGATTATTTGGTAGAATTTCATTTGAAATAATTTTATTAGGCATATTGCCTTACGGTAGTACGTCTTTTTAACCTTAAATTAAATTATTATCATTAAACAAACTTTTGTAGCAAGACATTATGACTTTTAAGTCATAATGTCTTGCTACAAAAGTTTGTGACAGAAACGAATCGCTACAAAACCGACTCCACGTAGTCTTGACTACCTTACCTCTAGAGTGTATGTAAGCCCGTAGGCGCGGAGAGGCGGCCCGCGAGCTGAGGAGGAGGTGGTTGCCGCAGTTTCGGCTTGCTGGCCGGCTTCGCTGCACATCTATCTCCGCAACATGGATGTACATGCCGCTGCGTGGGTGCCCAGGTCTCACTGCCATACCTTAAAACTTGCCTTACTATTGTTTTATAAATAATCTTCAGCTTCACAGGCATTCTCTTATCACATGTTACACCCGTTGCCGCCATTTGAGCCACACAGCTGCTATATGGTGTTGGCAATGGTGCTCTAGGACCCCTGAATTGTGTACTCACTGAACACCAAACCTCCCAGCAACTATTTTCTTGGTTTTTTCCTTTATTCTTCCTTGTTCCAGTGCCAGTTCTTGAAGGCGCTTTTCTTTTTTATATTGCATTGCATCTGTACGCTTTCGGTCCACCAGCAAGTTTCTTTATTCATCTTTTGGTTTCCGTTAGTACGACCCAAGACCCCAGATAGACACTCTTTAAATTAAACCATTTCGTGAGTTCTGGGACTCGGACAGATTTCTCTATGGGCTTTTTCTGGTAATTCATATCCATGACAACTACACGATGTTGAGTTGTACCTACTCCCCTTGTATAACTTTACAATTTCGATATATGTTCGACCCAATAAAATGTAATCAATTTGTGACACGGTATTCCCGCTTTTGTATGTTATAAGATGATCAAACTTTTTTGTAAAGAATGAATTTACATGAATTAATGAATTTGGAATTCATTTAAGAAATCCCTAACTATTAGTACTGTTCCTCGGATGTGAAAGTCCGAGTATGTTACTCCCGTGCACAAAAAATTGCCAAAAACTGCCATTGTCAATTACAGACCCATTTCCAAATTATATGTTCTGGCAAAAGTCTTTAAAAAGATTTTTTACGATCAAGTGTACGCGGCGCTCAAAGTTTTAATCCATCACAACACAGTTTTTTAAGTGGACGTTCAACAGTTTCAAACTTGGTACTACTGAATGATTATGTGATGCAGGGCATGGATGATGGTGCTCAGGTCGATGGTATTTATACCGACTATAGCAAAGCGTTCGATAAAATAGATAACAACATGCCGAAAATAAAGTTATTTAACAGAGGCATAAGGGGGGAATTACTTCGGTGGCTTTCCTCTTATCTGGAAAATCAGACTCAGGCTGTAGTTGCCAGTAACTGGGAAATGGGTCCATTGCTTTTTACGACGTTCCCTATACATCGATTAGATTTAATCCACCCATTTCTATTCCATTTTGCTTCCAACTATAGAAAAAACGCATATATTGTTCGAGCGAGCAGCGATTTCTCGCAGGAGTACTCTTTTGATCCCTTTAATACCAAAAGCAATGTTGTGCGCAGTATTCTAAACTTATTTTTTTTCCAATCTTAATATTTTTAGATCGATTATTATTTATTTTATAGGTGTAGTGTCGTGTTAGTTAGTGCTCCAGAACCTCTGTTAAATTACAATGATTCTATTCGTGAAAATCTGTGATTGGCTTGATGTAGTAAGCGAATCTGACCATTTCATCTTGGTAGCTGTTGGTTTTCCTAACTGAAGTAAATAAAATTAAAGTAAACAATGGCAAAATCAAAGACGGCCGCAGTTGTGAGTATTGTTTTCCGGGGTCGTTGAGTGAGCCGAAGGCATACCCACCGTGAACCCGACCCTATGTGACCATTTAGATCACCTCCGACTATAATTATTTCATTTGTGGGTATTACTTATAATGGCTGGTCTATAGCTAACCAAAAGTCCTCTTCATCGTCTTGGCTACAATTTACCTGAGGAGCGTAAGCAGATAAAACATTTACAGTCTCCCCTTCTATCATAACCTTGCGCGTCATAAGTCTGTCACTTATGCGATTTATAATTATGGTGGTATTAAGATGCTCTTGACTCATAATGATTCCTACACCATTTCTGCCACCTCTGGAACCATTGTAAATTAATTTGTATCCCTCACCTATATCGCGGGTCTTGGCCCCTGTTCATCATAAAGTGGCCAAGCGGACTTTTTGGGTTACTTTTAGGGACTAAAGTCTTTAACTGAGTTCGTTCTTGACTCAGTAGCCCTAGCATATTATTTGCAGAGTTTGGGTGATGTGTCTGCGCGTCGTTTCGTGGCGACGCCCTTTCTGTTATTCTCGTTGAGTATTGTACCTTTCCATTTTTAATTCATTATTATTTGGGTTTATTACAGTTCTTCCAATGGCCATCTGTCAGCTAATATACAATAGTACAATAGCTAATATACAATAATACAAATTCTAGTTTTTCACTCGACTTACTGGTAGCCAACATAAATAAAACTTTGTATACTTATTTTTGTTTTATATATCAGGTAAGTACCTACATAGATTTAGCTTAAAGGAAATGATTACCACAATCTGATTTTGAAATTAGGATATTGAGTAGGTCAACTT